TAGCTTTCAAATTTGTTCACCTCTCTGAAACATAACTTGGTATTTCAGTCCAGCACTCAAATAGCCCTCAACTATTGCTGTGTGTCATGGATGTGCTCTCTGCTGACACAGGCCAAAAATTGCTGTTCTCTTTTCCTGCAGACATTTTCTCTTCTTTGCATGGTGTGGCAACTCATCCATCTTCAGTTTGCATCTTGGATATTTCTCATTGGGAAGGTGAAATTACTTAGTGCAGTGGTCCTCAACCTTTCACAAGTGTCACTTAAGACCATCGTAAAACATGGATATTTACATTACCATTCATAACAGTGGAAAAATTCCAATTATGAAGTAGCAACATTAATAACTTTATGGGTGGGTGTCACTACAGCATGAGGAACTGCATTAAAGGGTCGCAGCATTAGAAAGCTGGGAACCACTGTGTCACTGTACTGCTAGACTGAATGCTCTGCGATGGCTGCTATTGCATTCATTTATTTAGTATCTTATCTCCAGTATCTAGAATAATAAGGCTGATATATAATAATAAGGCTAAATATTTTTCATGTATATGAATGAGGGAAGGGTATAGAATATTCATTTATAATTAAGCTCCTTTCTTCATAGTCTTAATATTTCTTAATTGTTCTATCAGCTTTAATCTTTGCTTATTATTGTGGCTATTTTTATTTCTAGCATCCACTTTAGAAAATTTATTAAGCATTATATAAAAATAAGGAAAAAAATCCATTATGGGATTTATTTTAACGACCTGTTCATGTAAATAAATAGCATTCTTTTACTATTAATGTATAAGAATATTTTGACGCTGTTAAGTAGTAGATAATCATTAAAATAGAAATTCACAGAACTTTTAAATTTGAAATGTAAAGGTAAAGCTGTAGATTTGTTTTATTGCCTGAGTTCAGTTAAATGAATATATGAAAATAAGACCCTGGGGGCTTTCTGTGACCAACGTGTGAACTGAGTGCACCCAAAGTAGCCATTTGCACCAAAGCAGAGATTCAGAATGAGCCTGTTAGAAACGTGCTCTGCATTTTATGTATTAGTTTTTGTCATCAGTTCCAGAATGAAAGTTGCAGGCTCAAAGTCATGATTAGCCCTATTCCCTGAGACTGCATGCATGAATCTCTCCATTATTAGATGCTGGCATGTGACCAGTCTAGTGCTCACTCCCTGGCATTACTAAAAGTCAATCTGCTGCTGAGAGAGTCTGTGTCTCCCACTGTCATGCCAGGGACCTGGGTCAGCCCTGTGAGATGCAAGAATGGTGTACACCCTGGCGGCCTGATTGGAGTCACCTGGCACCCTTATAGCACTCCCGTGAACTGTGGATTTGTAAATGGAATCATAATAGGAAGCATATCGAGTTTAAAGTAGATACACTTTAAAAAAAGGAACAAAGAAACAGCTCTGGTTAATCTTAGTGATGTATTTAATATAAATTACTGTGTCACAAGTTATAATTTAAATATGTGCTCAATATAGAAGTATAAGATGTCTCAAGTCCTTTCTTTTCATATCATTTTTGGCATCAAATACTTACACTAACAGCACACCTCAGCTTGTACTAGCCTACATAGAGTGTTCAGCAGCCTGTTTTGACAGTGCAGCTCTTGGGCCCCCAGAGAAAAGGGTACCGGTGTTGCACTGGCCAGAGCCAGAGCACTTTCCATACTAGCTGTGAATTTTAAGGGGTGCCATTTCTTTCATGGAAGAATCTCTCCAATTTTAAGAACTTTCTCAAATCTGTATTCCCCTTGAGAAATGCAGAGCCTTCTTCATCACACATTTTCCCAGGCCTTTGTAAAGTTTTTGAAACAGTTTTTCCTTTTCTCGTTTGTTTTCCGGTAGTGAAAGGACATTGCTCTGACCTGGGAGGTGAGTTTGCTGATGTGACATTTGTTCTAAGGGCAGGGCGAGCTAGAGACAAGTCTCCGTCTGCTCCCCACCTTAATTCCAGCGTGGTGCACTGCAGCTTATGATTCATGTTGCTCCCAGTGTACGATCACTAACCAAGTGTAGTCAGCCTGGTCTCTTCTGTGCTGTGGGCAGCTGTGACGTCACACTCACAGAGGCCAAGTCTTCTGCAGCTTTGTATCACAGAGATGAGTGGGAAGCTACTTGGAGAATACAATGATGACTTGTTGGTACTTGTTGATTAGTGGGCCTTCATTTCTTGCCAAATCTCAGAGTATTTATTTCTGGTTTTTAAGAACTCATAACATATTGGTTCTAAAATATTTAGGGTCTGCTGCCAAGTGTTGTCTTAAATATCAGCTTCTGGCGTTTCTCAAGCCTGACTGTTTCAAGCTGAGCTATTGAGTCTGTAGAGCCAAGGAGTCATGACTATTGTTTTCAAGCTCAGCCCTCCAGTCTCTGCCAAACTGCGATCCACAGTTGCTCTTTCCCTGCCAAGACTTATTCCCTTTTAACAGATATCTAAGTGCAAATACCTATTAGGGCTTAATAATGACGTGGACTTTGTGCTAGATTTGCAAGTAAGGAAATATTTTAAGGCAATTATTTTAATATATTCTTGCTCTCCCACTACAAATGCAATATCAAAATACATTTATGGTGACATAAGAGAGGAGAAAGGAAATTATGAAAGTTTTAAATATAGTTTCTAAAATTATAACACTAAAAATCCATTTTCTGTTTCAAAATTTTGGTCCTAGTACATAAGAAAATGGTTTTGAAGCATGATTACATAGTTTTATGACTATTGTATGCCCTTGTGTTTTCATACATTACAAGGTTGATTTTGAGATTAATTGTATATGATATAAAATTAATAGAGGATTTTGAAATTTTTGTCACCTTGGGCATAATTTTTAGAGACTCTTCTTACAGATTATCTCTTTTTTTAAGCAGGAAAAATCATTGTGTCCTTAATGTTAGGTATTTAAAATTCATAATCTTGGAATTTTAGTATTCTTATCTGTAAAATAGATGTACCAATAGTACCTTATCCTAGGGTTACTAGGAAGATTAAATTGTTAATTTGTTAATTATTAAATTATATATATATATATATAAAATTGTTAATAATTATAAATCATGCAGGATAATTGGCTGAATACTGTAAGCAATACAGGTTTGCTAGCAATAAGAACATCATCATTTTAGGAAAGGTTTTTCAGGCTGTCCTAAAGTTCTGCTCTGCTGAGACTGTATTTCTGTTTCTTTTCCCCATTTCTTTTTCTTAATGGTGTTAATTAATCTCCATTCTAGGCTTTCTATAGAAATTTCCATTAAAAAAACTATTTATGTTTCTGAATGTAACTTCTAGTTACTGGTTTTGAAAGCCTGCCTATCTCAGGAGCCACACATGAATATTCAACGACTGTGAGCATTTCAGACTCATCTGCCATGTCTACTGAAAATAGTCCTCCCACCTTCCCACAAGAGCTTCCTATAGCTCTACTTTCTGTCAAGTTATTTTCTTTCCATAGTTCTTACATTCCTGATGCTCCCTAGTGGGAAATGTTCCCTAAAGCGTACTGACTACACTGGTTTTTCACTGGAAGAAGTGGATTAATTTTAAGGTAGAGATTTGTGTTTAACTACACTTTATCAGTCTATTGGTACAAGTAAGGTAGATCCTATCCAATAAACCAACAGTATGGGCAAGGCTGGTAGCAATGCTGTTTCCTCTGGATAACACTTCGTAGATGTAACCAACCGTCTTATTAAATAAGAAACACAGAACCAATGCAAAGAAGAAAGCCAAGAGATCAGAGCTAAGAGCCTTACCGCCTGCTGCAGCTAGCCTCTTGTCATGGTGGCGGCTGGCAGTGACTCCTTCCGCCTTCCTCTTCTTTTTTTTCTCCTCTCTGTTAGTCCCTCCTATACTTCCTGCCTAGCCACTGGCCAACCAGTGTTTTATTTATTGACCCATCAGAGCAACAGATTTGACATACAGATCATCCCACAGCAACACTTTTTCACTTTTGAACTGGACATGGAATTGTCAGGTAGGGAGAGATCATGTTCAGATGTCCTTGGGTATTTTTCACTAAGCTTTCAAAAGAGTTTACTGTGTGGAAACAGGGCTTGTCATCCTCTGGGAGTAACTCACCAGTCAGAGCCCAGTACCTGTTCTGAGATTTTAGAGTAATGTGGAGAGATTTTTGATGATCTAAGCTTTTAACTTTTAATTTTCTTTTTCATTTACAAAGGACACTTTTTTTTTAATTGAGATAGGTCTCATGTACCTCAAGTTGGCCTCTAACTTATTATGTAGCCAAATATGGCCTTGATCTTCAAGTCCTCCTGCCTCAGGGCTTTCTGAGTACTAGGATTGTAGGTTTATGCCCCATTTATTACAACTTAATTTCTTTCAACATTCTTTGTGTGGTGTATCATTCCCCAAATTTCACGGGCAGCTGTGGTTTTACTGCCTTGGATTTGGGATGGTCATGTATAGCTCTTTTGTTCCCAACCACCATTTGCTCAGTTTTTTTCTATTTGGGGGGCTATTGTATCCTAGGGAGACACCTTAGATAAGTCTGAAGCTGAACCTGGAGAAGAGTGGAGTTAGAGAGGGAGTGACAGAGTCGGAAGAGACTCCCTGTCTCCTTTGCATGACACACACACACACACACACACACACACACACACACACATCGGGATGAGGGGTTATGCTCAGCTGCACATGTACACATGGCAAATTTTGCATGTATACACACTGAGGAAATGGGGGATTAGAAGCAGACTCATAGGTCCACAGACTCAGGTAGACACTCACATAAAGTTAAGCCCCAGAAACAGGCATGCTAACAAGAGAAGGAGGCCCGAGAACAGGGCAAAGAAAAGAAAAAAGTCAGAGAAAAGAAAAACAGACAAGAGCAGAGGGCAAGACTGAGAACAGGAAGGTCAGACTCTTAGGACACTGGAATCCAAGTGCCCTCCTCAAGGTTGGAAGGGTGAGAAAGCCCCTGGGAAGCAGAGCTGGTGAAAGGATTGAAACAGGGCTTCCTTGCTCTCCTTTGTAGTATTCAAGAAATGCTGACGGGCCAGAGGCTGTGCCACTCAGAATCGCACAATGACACTGTCCTCGCAGCACTGAACCAGCAAAGAAGTGATGGCATTCTCTGCGATGTGACCCTGATTGCCGAGGAGCAGAAATTCCATGCTCACAAGGCAGTCCTAGCGGCCTGCAGTGACTACTTCCGGGTAAGTAATGGTGGATGTGTTTGTTGCAGGATGTCAATACACAGGGGACAGCAGTGTTTCCTGACCTTTCCTGGGCCCTGAGCCAACTACATGGTTGTCTGCAGAGGTGTAAGTGTTGAGAAGCTGTTTCTTTCTGGACAGACTTATGTCCGGGGCCGCTTGGAACTGGCCTGGGTGCCTGCAGTGGGAAGCAGATCTCCCCTTTGCATCTGACTAATGCATTTGGCATTTTGCAATCACTGAATGGTGTGATGGTGACATGTGTGGCGTATGAAGATATGGTTCTTTTTTTGTTAGAACTTGGAATTTGATCTCCAGTTGTGAGTGATGTGCGGTGATACTACTTGAGTGGGTGAGGTCTTCTGTATCTATATTTCATTTAGTCTTCACATAAACAGCTTGTACAAATGCATGTACATGCTCTTAAAGATGGTCATTTTTACATAAAAGGAAACTGAATCTCAGAGACTAAGTAATTAGAATGCAGAATGTAAATAAATAATAAACATGGTTCTTAACTCACGTATCTGGAAGTGAAATCCATGTCTGACTTTTGTTTTTTAATTTTAGAAACTTACTATTTTGGGGCTGAGGAGATATCTCAGTGATTAAAGTGCAGCCATACAAGAATGAGTACTGGATGGAATTCAGATCCCGGAAACCCATACAACTGCTGAATAGTGGCCTGCCTGTAATTCCAGCCTTAGAAGGCAGAGTCAAAAGATCCCAGCGCAAGCTGGTTAGTGAGACTAGTCATTTCTAGCAGCTCTGATGTGATTAACAGACCTTACCTAAGTGAATAAAGTGCAAGAGAGGTTGAAGAAGATTCCACTGAGAAAGATCATGGCTGGTTCTATGACTTGGCTATTGTGACTAGTGCAGCAATATGTGTAGGTATCTCTGTGGTATGTTTACTTAGGGCATATGTCCAGAAGTTGTATAGCTGACTCATATCCTGTTTCTTTTTTTTTTTTTTTGGTTTTTCGAGACAGGGTTTCTCTGTGTAGCTTTGCGCCTTTTCCTGGAGCTCACTTGGTAGCCCAGGCTGGCCTCGAACTCACAAAGATCCGCCTGGTTCTGCCTCCCGAGTGCTGGGATTAAAGGCGTGCGCCACCACCGCCCGGCTTCATATCCTGTTTCTACATTTTTGAGGAGCACCGTGCTGATTGTCACAGTGGGTAACCTAATTTGCAGACCCACCAGCACTATGTAAGGATTGCCTTTCTCCCACATCATCCCTAGCTATTGTTTTTAGTTTAGACAGAGTCTCTTTATGTGGTCCTGACTGTCCTGGAATTCACTATGTACACCAGGCTGGTCTTGAACTCACAGAGATCCTGTCTCCTGAGTGCTGGGGATTAAAGGCATTCACCACTAACTCCCACCCTTATTTGATTTCTTAATGACTGAGATGAGATGAAATCTCAAAGTGATTTTAATTTGCATGAGCATTTCTATATTGATTGGCCATTTTGTAACTCCTCTTTTGAAAATGAACTATTCATTTCATTTGCCCATTTATCTAGTGTGTTTTTCATATTTTTGAATCATATATATATATATATTCTAGATATCAACTTTCTGTCAGATGCATAGCTAGCAAAGATTTTCTCTCGATCTGTAGGCTTTTTCACCGAGCTTTTTCCTTTGCTATACAGAAGCTTTGTGATTGCATGAAATCTTATTTTCTTGGTAATTTTCTGAGCAATTGGTGTCCTTTTCAGAGATGTGGTAACTGTGTCATAGAGTGTTTCCTCTGTTTTCTTCTGTCTCAGTTTCAGGCCTTTGGGTCTTTGGGTTGAGTCTTGCACAGGGTGAGGGATAGGCATACACTTTCATTCTTCCATATAAGGACATGCAATTCTCCTGGAATCATTTACTGAAGAGCTATCTTCTGCAGCGTCTACTTAGGCAATTTTGTCAAAAGCCAGGTAGCTGTAGCTGTGTGCGTTTGCTGATGGGAACTTCTTCATGTTAAGAGTCAACTTGACAGACTCTAGAATCCCCTGGGGGTAGGTCTCTGGACATGCCTATGGGGAAGAGCCACCTTAATTGTGAGAAGGACTATTTCTTGTATAAGATGGAGACAGCAAGCTGAGCACTAGAGTAGCATTCAGTGCTCTCTCCTTCAGATAGTGACCAATTGCATCAAGCTTCTGCTGCTCCGAGCTACCCACCATGATACACTGTCCCATGAACAGGGAGATAATAGACCTCTTTTCTTGTAAGTTTCCTTTATATGAATATTTTATGAGGGCAATAGGAAGAGAAGCCAAGTCCTCTCTGTTCTATTCCACTGATCTGCGTGTTTGTTTTTGAGGCAATGTCATGCTTTTTTTGTTACAATAGTTTCCCAGTGTACTTTAATCGGGGCTTCTGCTACCTCTGCTACTTCTAGTATTGTTCTTTTTGCTCAAGAGCGTTGGCTGTCTGGGGTCATTTGTGCTCTGTCTGACCTCCGGTATGTTTTTATCCATTTCTGTAAAAATGTCATTGGCATTCTAATGGAGATTTTGTTGACTCTGTAGATCACATTTAACAATATTGCTATTTTTGTAATATTAATCCTGCTAATCCATGAGCATTAGTGATCATTCCACCTTTATTTTCTTTCAAATTTAGAATTCTTTTTTATTCTTCTTTCATATATTACATCCTGGCCACAGTTTTCCTTCCCTCCACTCCTCCTAGTACCCCCATGTTCCCTTTTCCCCAATCCAGCCCTCCCTTCAGGAAAAGAGCAGGCCTCCCAGGGTTATCAACTAAACATGGCATAACAAGTTGAAACAAAACTAGGCATTAACCCTCATATCAAGGCTGGATGTGGCAACCCAATAGGAGGAAATGTGTTCTAAAAGCAGGCAAAATAGTCAGAGACAGCCCCTGCTCCCACTGTTAGGAACCCTGCAAAAACCCCATGCTAAACAACCACAACTTATATGCAGAGGAGCTAGTACAGACCCATGCAAGCTCTGTGATCGCCACCTCAGTCTCTGTGAGCCCCTGTGAGCCCTGCTTAGCTGATTCTGTGGGCTGTGTTCTCCTGACCACCTTTTCCTCTTATTCTTCAATTTCTTTCTTCAGTGCTTAAAATTTTTTCACTGTAGGGAATCTCTCAGTTCCTTGGTTAGGTTTATTCCTAGGTTATTTATTTATTTATAAAGCACTTGTGAGTGGAGATGCTTTCCTGGTTTCTCAGCTGCATGTTAGTTATTGACATATAGAAAAGCTACTGATTTTTGTACCCCATTAATTTTCTGAAAGAATTCATCAGCTCTAAGAATTTTCTAGTAGAGCTTCAGGTTCCTTATTTACGGACAGTTATTGTCTACTAAATAGAGATAATTTCACTTTTGCCTTTCCATTTATATTCTTCCCCTATTATTTATTTATTTATCTATTTATTTATTCATTCATTCATTCATTCAGCTGTTTGTTTATTCATTTAGCTAAGACTTCAAGGACTGTATTGAGGAAAAATGTGAAAAGAGTGGACATCAATGTCTCATTCTTGATTTTACTGGAAATGCGTTGACTTGTTTAACATTGTTTAGTGTGAGGTTGGTTATAGAGGGTTTTTTGTGTATGTAACATTTACTATATTACTAGATGTTTATTCTATTGCTAGTTCCTTTAAGACTTTCATTGCCAAGAGATATTTATCAGGGGACTCTTTCAAAGGCCTTTTCTGTATCTATTATGATGATCATGTGATTTCTGTCCTCAAGTGTACTTATGTGCTGCATTTCACTTACTGATTTTCATGTTAAATTATCCTTGCATGGAGTTAAGTCCACTGATCAGGGCGAATGCTGTTTTTGATGTGTAATTGAATTTGATTTACAAATATCTTGTTGAGAATTTATGCATCTGTGTTCATTGAGGATATTGCTCTATAATTTTCTTTTTACTTTTCTCTTTTCCCCCATTTCCTTTTCCAGTTTTGGTGTGTGTATAAAACTAGTATGAAAATGAATTTGTCAGTATTAATTCCTTTGTGTTTCATAGAACAGTTTGAGAAACATTGGTAGGCTTTAGCTGGGCATCCATCTGGGCTTGAGTTTTTTTGTTTTGTTTTATTTTGTTTTTGTTTTTTTCGTTTTGTTTTTTAGCTGAGAGATGTTTACTAGTTCTTTAGTCTTGGTGCTGGTTATTATTTTGTCAGTTTGACACAAACTAGAGTCACCTGGGGAACGGAAACCTCAACTGAGAAATTGTTTCTATCAGAGTGGCCTGAACACACCTGTGAGGGCATTTTCTTGATTAATGATTGCTGTGGGATGGCTCACTCCATTGAGAGTAGTGTCAATCCCTGGGATGTATAAACAAGTTGAGCAGACCATAGTGAGTGTTCCTCTGTCGTTCCTGCCTCATGGTCTGGCCTTTGCATCCCTCAGTGATGGTCTGTATCTTGTAAACCTAATAATTCCTTTCATCCCCCAAGTTAGTTTTGATCACTAGTTTATCACAGAAATAAAAGAGTAACCAGGGTAATTTTATTGTTTATTACAGATCTTAAGTTATTAATATCCTCTTGGCCTAATTTTGGTAGGCTGTATGTGTCTAGAAATTTTTTCATTTCCTCTAGATTTTATAATATTTTAAAATATAACTTTTCAAAGTATGAATTAATAATCTTTTAAATTTCACTGTATCTGGTGATGCCTTCTCTGTCATCTCTAATTTTATTAATTTGGACCATTTAGTTATGTGTTAGTTTGGCTAAGGATTTGCCAATTGTTTGTATATTTGAAGAGTCAATTCTGTTTTATTGATACTTTTAAAATAAATGTGTGTGTGTGTGTGTGTGTGTGTGTGTGTGTGTGTGTGTGTGCCCATGCACCTGTGGGTGCTGGCAGAGGTAAGAAAAAGTATCAGATCTCCTGGAGCTTGAGTTGCAGGTGGTTGTGACCTGCCTGCTAGGAGTGCTGGGGAACCAGAGTTCTCTGCAAGAAGAGTATTCATATGCTCTTAATCACTGACCCATCTCTTCAAGCCCA